CACCAGGGAGTGGATCCCTAGGGATTAAATCCACTCCCTAGGGATCATCTCCAGCTCCTCACTTGGCTCAGCTGTTCCAAGGTGTCATAACCCCATCCCAGCTCCCAGCAGGATCACACCAGTGAGTGGGTCGGTTCAGAGGAGGCTCCTGGTGCTGCATCATCCCCAGGATCCCACAGGATCCCTGGGCACGGGGATGTCACCGCCACGTCCCCCAGATCTGGACTTCAGTCATCTCCCAGCCACCTACACAGACAGCTCCAGATCTTTTCATCTTCCCCCACCTAAAAATTTGCTGTTGGGGTTTGTGGTGAACCTGCCCAGTCCAACCATGACCAGAGCGAGGTGATGCCAGCGTGAGGACCTCCAGGCTGGTCCTCATGGACCTTCCTCCACTTCTTATCCCACCAGAAAGCACCAAGTTGTGGCTTTAGTTTGATGTTTGAGATGAAATTTCTGCTGAAATTCAAGAGAAGGAGGGAAAAAAAATAAATAAGAGATGGTAAAACACCAAATTTTGGGGATGCCAGAACAAAAAGTAAGAGTTTGGGGGAGAGGATGGACAGATGGACAATGGACAGACCCACATCTGCACCAGGGCGGCATTTTCAGCGCCTGTGGTGGAACATCATCTCCTTCCACTGCAATCCCACCTTTTAACTGGGAAGGGATCAATTGGGGAAGGGTCATTTCCACACCCCTCTGATTTTTGGGAATCGTGGGAGAAATGTCCAGTTCTCTGAGCTCCTGGATCACTGGTGACTTTCTCCTGCTCGATGCTGGAGGAACCAGCACCCACCCACCCGTGGGGTGACGGCGTGTTGGGATGGCAGCCGGGCATGTTCCTTCTGGCCCCGTTAATGAGGAGCTTTGCCTGGAAGTTGGGTGCTTCCCACTCACTTCCAAAGCTTCTCTCATCGGTGCTGGAGAGGTGGAGGGAGGGTGGTGGCACGGAGCTGCTGTTGGGATTTTTCTAAAGGGTCTCAATCAAAATTGTTGGGTCCCACCAACCTCAAGTTGTGGTTTCTGTCGTCTAAATGAGGGTGATGGTACCGGGCAGCGTGCTGGGCTTGGGGGTTTGGTGGTTGGGAGATGGTGGAGTTGGGTTGGGATGGGGATCTGGTGTGTTGACTGCAGGGAAGTTGGACTAGATGGTCTTTGGATGTCTCCTCTAACCCAATACACGTGACACTGGAAGAGGTTGCTCAAGGAAGTTGTGGCTGCTCCTCCCTGGAAGTGTTGAAGGCCAGGTTGGATGAGGCTTTGAGCAACCTGGTCTAGTGGAAGGGGTCCCTGCTGATGGCTCCTGGAACTCGATGAGCTTTAAGGTCCCTTCCAACCCAAACCAGTCTGAGATTCGATGATATGATGTGAAAAGAGGGGAGATGGAGATGAGATGTGAGGAAGAAATTCTTTGGTGTGAGGGTGGTGAGACACTGGCCCAGGTTGGCCAGAGAAGCTGTGGCTGCTCCTCCCTGGAAGTGTTGAAGGCCAGTTTGGATGAGGCTTTGAGCAACCTGGTCTAGTGGAAGGTGTCCCTGCTGATGGCTCATGGATCTGGATGATCTTTAAGGTCCCTTCCAACCCCAAACCATTCCATGATCCTATGCCCAAGACACTGATGACACCATGAAGTTGACACGAAGCCACCTCTTGTATAACCCTCCCATCCACCTTCTTTAGGATGACAACTGGGGTGAAACCACCACGGTGGTGACGGGGACATCAGAACACAGCATCTCCCACGATGACATCACCCGTATCACCAAGGACATGGAGGACAGCGCCCACTTGGACTGTTCCCGACACTTGGGCGTCTCGTTGGCCGGGGCGTTGGCTCTCCTCGCTTTCCTCACTCCTCTCGCCTTTATGCTCCTACCCCAACTACTATGGCGAGAAGAATTAGAACCTTGTGGGACACCTTGTGAAGGGCTTTTCATTTCCGTGGCCTTCAAACTCCTCATCCTCATGTTGGGTAGTTGGGCTCTTTTTTTCCGTCGCCCCAAAGCTTTTTTCCCCCGCGTTTTCGTGTTCCGAGCGTTACTCATGGTGTTGGTTTTCCTCCTGGTTGTATCTTATTGGCTTTTTTATGGGGTGAGGATCTTGGATACGAAGGATCGGAATTACCAAGGGGTGGTCCAATACGCCGTGTCCTTGGTGGACGCTCTGCTCTTCGTTCATTATTTGGCCGTGGTGTTGTTGGAGTTACGACAGCTCCAGCCTCAGTTCACCCTCAAAGCCGTTCGCTCGGCCGACGGGACCAGTCGCTTCTATAACGTCGGGTATCTCAGGTACACGGGGGGCTGGGGAGGGTTTGTGGACA